GAATGTGTTCACGGGAGGAGGGGAGTCCAGGACCCCCTTATGTCGCCATCTTGAGCCAGATCGGGAGTCATGGTTCTACTGTGGATGGAAATCATCAATGAACAGTGTATAAGAGGAACAGAAAAGAATTTAGTTGAGCAAACTGAGGACTATAGCTCAGGAGACAGATTCAAGAACTTGAATTGTGCTCCACAGGCTGCAAAACAGGGCAGGCTTACATAGGCAAAAAAATGCAAAATTTTGTAAGTTGTTAAGAATTGGATTGGAGCTGGCAAGAAGTTAAGGAGCTTGTTAAACAAGGGTTTTGGGGGCCCAAAATGGTTGCAGTTACTAGAGGAGACTTTGTGACTATAAGATTGCAGTAGGCAGCTGTTGGCAGATACTGTTTTGAGAACAGCTGGTGGTGTCCTTAACTGATAATATTCAGAAAATTGAAGTTCTCAGGAATACAGGGATATGTCTGAAACCACATTCACAATGGCCTCCCAGCTCCATTTTGAATGCCTGAACCATAGTTACTCCATTTTGAATTTCAAATGCATTCTTTTCTTTAATAGTTAAAGCAGATATACAATGCATGTTTAATGGGCTACAAAGGGTTATTTTGTTTCGCTGGAAGTTTAATCCTGCCTAAACCAGAATGACTACCCCATACCTCAATATGAAAATTTCTTTCATCACTATTATACATCACTGAGCGTTCATGACCTGCATCATTGATGTGGTGGGTCTACTGTATTCTCACTGAAAAATGAGTGTCATTCTTCTCTGAAAAGAAGGAGGGACTTTTATACTGAAAGTATAGAAATTAAAGATTATATTAACTCTTGCTTTTCAGTTCCCAAATTATGATGCCAGTAACATGGTTTACACATACTAAATAATGATATAAATAAGTTTGTTTCTTAGGCTGACCATACTAGTATTTTCAAACTATTCTGCCCTTTAGTTGGTACATTTGTTAACATGCTTCATTATCTATTTGTATCCCATTATCTTTTTCTCCTATTCTACTTTATTTAATCTTTTGGTAATAGATAAACAGTAGAAAACAGCTTTCAAGTCTATGGTTAGTTACAGATTCTAATTTACAGATCTTGTTTTCATGCTTTTTTCTATATGTTGAAAAATGTTCTTTAGTTTTAGCCAAGTAGATCAGGTATTGGCACACTTTTTCTTTAAAGAGCCAGATTATAAATAGTTTTGGATTTGTGGGCCATATGATTTATGTTGCATATACCCAATTCTGCTGTTATACTATCCAAATAGCCATAGACAACATATTAATGAATAGGCATTGCTCAGTTCCAATAAAACTTCATTTATAAAAACAGGCAGGCCAGATTTGGGGTGCCCACCTTATAGATCTGGCTATTCCTCCAAATATCAGTCTTTGTCTTAAAACAAGAGTCTGAAATGAAAAGCAACATAGCATTTCACAGTGTTCGCAGTTAAAATTCAGAGATTCTGGTCCCAACAACACGGACTCATTTGCTGTGTTATCTTACCCAAGTCACTTAACCCCTGAATTTCAGTTTCTTCAAAGGCTACAATAAAATTCACAGGTGTATGGTTATGACTGAGATGATATTTGAACAAACTTTATCAATTTAAAACTTAGGCTAGATTCCTTTCCTGGAGTGTAACTGTTTGCTTGGAGTATATCAGCTTAAAAAAAATATGTTTATCTTACAAAGCACATTAAACTTACCTTCTGCTTTGTACTTTCTCTCTCTCTCTCTCTCTCTCTCTCTCACACACACACACACACATACTACACATCTTGTGATGATCTACATTATCTTGTCTTTTCATAATATTGTGGTATGTATTTTCATTGCTTTATGTCACCTGCCAAATTGAAGATTTAATACTTCCTTCTTCCATTCATTGGTAAAAATAATAATGGGAAATAGTTACAGAGTACATACTCTGAGTCATGCACTGCTCTTAGCTTTACCTGTATTAACTGATTTAATCCTCACAGCAATCTTTGAGATAGATACTATTAACATCCCCTTTTACAGACTAGGAGAGTAAGGCACAGAGGTTACATAACTTGTCTAATGTTACTAAACATTATATTTCAGTTTAAATCCAGCAGTCTGAATCAGAAGCCAGATTTTTTTTTTAGTTCCACTAGCTTTATTTACAAAATATTTGAAATACAGGTTCTTTTTTAGCTACAGGTGTTTTATTTATTTACTTATTTTTTGATAATCAGTTCTTTTTCTTTATTGAGTTATAGT